CGTCTCTTGGCTGTCCTCAAACTTCATTACTGTTTAATGTTTACCAAGAGAACTGGGGACCATGTCTGTACTCTGACAATCAGGTGTTCAATTCCTCCTTCATTTTGGGCAGTGGAGTTTTTGAGCTTAGCCGGTCTTCTCCAGAACTGTCATGGTGGCCATCCTATTTAGGGGGCTTAATCTTCAAGTCAGTCTCATGTTAATGTGGGCACTGAGGTCAATTGCTGGTCAGAAGTTACCTTAGTGTGACTGTACTACTAAAGGAATCTTCTGTAGAGTTACCCCCTCCTCCACAGAAAATCTTAACTAAGTTTCTGCAGAAATCTTCACCATAATTGATTGTAGGACTATCAGCAAACACTCTCTAATTACAAGAGAGTTCAATATATATCTAAAACAAATGTAATAGCTGATCTCTAATACTAATATAGTGTGCACACTATAGCATTTAATACTAATATAATAACTGCTTTTTGGTCTTTTACAGTAATATGATATCCATAGGAAAACATCCCAATCTAATAGAGTAGCTATCTCATAGCCTTTCATAATAATGTAACATACATACTGTCTCATGTAATATAATAGATCTCCTCTGTAATATAATAGATCTTTTTTAATGTTAATATAATATCAATATATAGCATCTTAAACTAATTCATGTACCTCTTCCTCTAATACTTATTGATGTTCATACTATAGCATCTAGTGCTAATATAATAGATCTTTAATACAAATGCGGTATATATACTATAGCCTCTAAAAGTGTTATAATAGTTGCACTGTGGTCTTTAATTGTAATATAAAATCCATAATACAGCATCAGAAACTGATATTATAGTGCCATTATGGCCTTATATACTAATGTAATATCCATACTGTGGATTCTAAAACTAATATAATAGCTTTCTGTGGCCTTCAATACTAACTTGTTAAGCTCTCTGGTAATTAAAATATTATAATAGTTGCCTTGTGGTCTTTAATACTAGTGATATCCATAATATAGCATTTAAACCTAATAAAATAGGTGCCCTGTGACCTTTAATATTAATGTAATATCTATAATTTAGCATCTAAAACTAATATAATATTTGCCCTGTGTTCTTTTAGAAATTTTTTTTAGTGTATATGGACAAAACATCTTTATTTTATTTATTTACATATTTATAAGTTTATTTTTAGTTAGTGCTGAGGATTGAACCAGGGACTCACATGTGCTAAATGAGTGCTCTACTGCTGAGCCACAACCCCAGCCCATAATTTATTTATTTTTATGAGGTGCTGAGGATCAAGCCCAGTGCCTCACACATGCTAGGCAAGCACTCTACCACCAAGCCACAACTCCAGCCTACCCTGTGGCCTTTTAAGAATATTTTTTAAAGTTATAGATGGACATAATACCATTTCTTAATTAATTTATTTTTATGTGGTACTTAAGATCCAACCATTGCCTTATGAATGCCAGGCAAGTGCTGTACCACTGAATCACAGCCCTTGCCCCTGTCCCATGGCCTTTAACATTAATCTGATATAAAACTTATGGCCCTTTAATTAATATAAAAGCTGTCCTATGGCCTTCTAATGCTGATATTATATCCATCCTATGGCTTCCCTCTTCCTTTAATATTAATATAATAAACTTGTGACAGCATGAACTCTATAGACTTCACTATTAATATGTCATCCATATTATGACCTCGAAATCTAATATGATAGCTGTCCTGTGGCCTTTGTTACTGATACGATCACCATAATATGGCATGGAAAACTGATAAAATAGCTGCTCTGTGGCATTTACTATTAATATGATTTTCATATTATAGCATCAAAAACAAATATCAGAGCCATTAGAGGCCTTTAATACTAGTATGATATCTAAACTATAGTACCTAAAATGATTATAGTAGCTGGGCTGAGGCCTTTAAATCTAATGTGATATCCATATTATGGCATCTAAAACTAATATAATAGTGCCCCTGTAGCCTTAATACTAATATGATATCCATATTATAGCCTCTAAAACCAAAGTAATAGATGTCCTGTGACCTTTAATATGAATGTGACACCTTTTCTACAGCCTGTGAAACCAATATAATAACTCTCTGGTCAATTTTAATATTAGTATACATGATATAGAATCTTAAACTGATAAAGTGGTGCTCTGTGGCCTTTAATGTTAGTATGATATTTATATTATAGTACATTAAAATATCTGCTTTGTAGCCAGTAAACTAATGATATCCATGCTATACTATTGAAATCAATATATCAATTACCATGTTGACTTTAATACTAACATGTTATAGATACTTGAACATCTAAAAATGACATAGTTGTTGACCTGGGCATTTAATACTAATTTACAATATCCTTGCTAGAAAATCTAAAACTGATACAATGGCTGTCCCGAGATCTTTAAATATAACAAAATGTTCATCATATAGTATCCAAAGCTATTATAAGAGCTGCCCTGTGGCCTTTAATAATATAATATAATACATATAATACTAATATGGTATTCATATCATGTCATCTTAAACCAATAAAATATCTGTCCTGTGACCTTTAATATTAATATAATATCATACTGTATTATCTGAATTAATATAATAATTGTATCATGGTCTTAACACTAAATAATATACATACTGTAGCATCTAAAACAAATAGTTACCCTGATACTTTTAATACTGATATGAAATCATATTAGTAGAACATCTAAAACTGCTTAGTGTAGCATCTAAAACTGATATAATAGTTGCCCTGCAGCCTTGAATACAAATAAGATATATATACTTTATCATCTAAAATGGATATAATATCTCCCCTGTGGTTTTAATAGTAATATAATAGCTGTCTTGTAGTACTAATTTTATTACCTGTTTTGACATCTAAAACTGATAAGATAGCTGCCCTATGGCCATTAACATTAATAAATTCTTCATAATGTAGCATCTAAATCTGATATAATAACTGCCAATACTATCATGATACCCATAATACTATCAAAATATAACATAGTATCTAAAACTAATATACCAACTAAACTTTGGCCTTTAATACTAATGTAGTATGTTTACTGTAGCATCTTACAGTATTGTAAAAACTTTCTTGTGGCAATTAGTATTAATATATGCATATGTGCTTGCAGAATAGGATAATATAGCTCTCTTGTAGTCTTTAATATTAGTATAATATCCATACTACAGCATTTACATTAATATAATACCTGATATGTGGCTTTAATATTGAAGTAATATCTATACTATAGTAAGTACAACTAATATAATAACTGTTCTGAGGTTTAATACTATTACTAATATAATAAATTCCTTGTAACCTCTAATGTTAATAATATATCCAAACTATAGAATCCAAAACCAAAATAATAGCTGGCCTGTAGTTTTTTAATACAAAATTAATATCCATTCTATAGCATCTCAAGCTAATATAATATCTACCCTGTGGCAACTAATGTAGTTGCCATAAGATTGTCTCTAAAACTGATATAATAGCTGCCCTGTATTCTTTAATACCAATATGACACCTTATTATAGCATCTTAAATTGATATAATAGCTACTCTGTGGCCTTTAATATGATATCTATATAATATGATATCTATAATATATAGCATTTTTATTTAATAAAATCTCCATACTATGTCATCTAAAAGTAATATAATAGCTGCCCTGTGGACATTAATACTATTATGATATGCATACTATAGCATCTAAAGTTAAAATAATTTAACAAAATGCCTATAGATCTAGCACTTAATAGTAATATGATACCCAAACTATAGTATCTATAATGAGTATAATAGCATAATACTAATAAGATATATATACATATAATTAATATAATTACTGAAGTTTTAGCTTTAATACTTTTTTTGGTAATAAGAATTGAAACTAGAGGCATTTAACCCCATCCCCAGCCCTTTTTATTTTTATTTTTTTTTATTTTGACACAGGGTCTTGATAAATTACTTGGGGACTCACTAAGTGGCTGAAGCTGGACTTGAACTTGTAATCCTCCTTCCTCAGCTTCCTAACTCACTAGAATTAAAGGCATGTGCCAATGCCTGGCTGGGCTTTAATTATGGTGTGCATACTACAGCATCTATACTAAGTACTAAAGGAGTTGCCTGTTATAATATTATTAATATTATAACTATACTGTGGCTTCTAAAGGTAATATTATAGCTCTTCTGTGGCCTTTTATATTAATACAATATCCACATATAGCATATAATATACTAGCTGCCCTATGGCCTTTAATAATATCAACACTGTATCTCCTAAAAAACTGAAGTGATAGTTTCCCTGAGGCCTTTTAATACTATATAAAATCTATACTACAGCATCTAAAGTGAATAAAATACCTGCACTGTGACCTTCAATTCTTTTATGATATCCACACTATAGCATTTAAAACTAATAAAATAGCAGTCCTGTGGCCTATAGTTCTGATGTAGTATCCATACTTTATCATTGTAAATAATATAACAGTTGCATATTGTCTTTAACACCAACATCATATCCATAGTATAAACTCTAAAACTAATACTTAGCTTCCCTGTGACCTTTAATACTAATATAATATCTATACAATAACATATGAAATAAACTTAATGCATGACCTGTGGTTTTTAATATTGATGTAATATCCATCTTATTGCATCTTAAGCTAATATATAAAAATTTCTTTCAGGTTTGTCCTACTTCCTTTATCTCCCTGCTCCTCTGGAATGACAGGTCAGTGTCATCTTGGGATGACAGGTCAGTGCACCATGGCCTGCTTGGGGCAGTGATCCACCCCACCTCAGACCCCCAATGCCAGCTTGGCAGACTCTTTGAGGCTGTGGCCCATGCTTGGCACCTGTGTTCCAGCCTGCCCAGGTTGTTGTTTCTCTGCTTTGCTCTGCTGCTTGGCTGCTGCTTCTCAACAGAGACTAGTGCACCAGCTGCATGGCTTGGCAGCTGAAAAGCTGTGTCGCTGGCCTGTAATACTAATAGGATATCTGTACTGTACCATACACACTTAATATAGTAATTGCTCTGCAGCCTTGAATATTAATATAATATCAATGTTGTGGCCTTCAAATCTGAAATAACAATGGCCCTGAGGCTGTTTAATTCTAATATGATATCCAAATTATAGCATCTAAAACTAAAATAATATTTGGCTTATGGTCTCTATACTAATAAGATATTTATGCTATGTGATCTAAAATTAATATAATAGCTACCCTGTGGCCTTTAATATTATTTTAATATTCATACTATAGCATGTAAAAGTAATTTAATAATTGCCTTGTGACCTTTATTATTAATGTAAACATATATAATAGCTGCCTTTTGGCTTTTAATTCTAATCTGATATACATATTATGGCACCTAAAATTAATAACATATGTTCCCTGTGGCCTTTGATATTTATATAATATCCATACTCTGGCCTCAAATCCTAATATAATAGTTTAGAATATTCATATTGTGACCTCTAAAATACAAGAGTAGTCCCTGTGGTCTTTATTACTGATATGATATTTATGTTAGAGCATGGAAATGTGATAATAGATGTGATCTTTAATATTAATATGATTTCTAGACTATAGAATTGAAAATTCGTATCAGAGCTGCACTGTGGTATTTAATACTAATATGATGATATCCATAGTACATATTTAAAACTAATATAATGTTGCTCTGTGGTCTTAATATTAATGTGACATCCCTACTGTGTACTCTAAGACTAGTGTAATAGCTTCCCTGTATCTTTTATTACTAATATAATATCCATTCTATAGCATCTAAAAGAATAGCTGCCCTGTAGCCATTTATATTAATATAATAGCCAAAATATAACATCTCGAACTGATATAATCTTTGTCTCATGGCCTTTAATAAAAAACTAATCTAAAACTAATATAATGTATGCCCTGTGCCCTTTAATATTGACATGTTATTTGTATTATGGCATCCAATACTAATATAATGGTTGCCCTGTGGCATTTATAATTGATATAATATCAGTAATATAGATTCTAGCCAAGTGCAGTGGTGTATGCCTCTTAGCAACTCAGCAAGACCTCATTTTTAAATAAAATATAAAAAAGAGCTGGGGATGTTGCTCAGTGGTTAGTTTCCCCTGGATTCAATTCAATCACTGGTACAAATATATATATATATATAATTTTTTCCCCTAAAACTAATGTAATAGATGCTGTATGGCCTTTAATTTTAATACAATACCATATTATTGCATCTAACACTAATATAATAGCTGATCTGTGATTTTTAACTAACATGACATCCATATTGATAGCATTGAAGACTGATATATTAATTTCCTGTGACTTTTAATATTAATAAAACATTATTAGTATAACATCTAATACTAATACAATAGCTGTACTATGGCATTTAATATTACAATGATATTTTACTATAGCTTCTAAAACTAAAATAATAGGTGAACTTTGTTTGGCCTTCTTTACTGATGTAATATACATGCCATTTTACATTAATTAAGTAAGTACCCTATGACCTTCAGTGTTAATTTAATAATAACTATACTAAAGTGTCTAACACTAGTATAAAGCTTCCCTTTAACTCTAACATAATATCTATATTATAATGTGTAAAACTAATACGTCTGGCCTTTAATACTAATATGATTCCATACTGTACTATCTAGTAATAATATAATAGATTTTCTGTAGTGTTAATTCTCAAAATCTATAGTTTTGTATTTTAAAACTAATAACTTTCCTGTGGTCTTTAAGAGTAACATAATATCCATAGTGTATTTCTGATACTCATGTAATAGCTATCCTGTGTCCTTGAACATTACTATAATATCCATATTATTGCATCTGAGACAGCTGACTGTGGATTTCATTTCTAATATAATAGTCATATTAAAAAATGACTATTAAAAATCATCTAAAATTAATACAATAGCAGCCCTGTGCCTTTACTAGTAACACTTCAGCATCTAAAACTAATGTAATAGGTGTCCTATGACCTTAAATATTAATGTGATATCTATGCTAGAGCCTCTGAAACTGATAGAATAGTTGCCTTGTGACCTTTAATATTCATATCAATACTGTAGCTTCTAAAATAAAAAAAAAGATAATAGCTGCACTCTGGTGACTCTAATTAATATATTCCCTATATTAGAGATTCTAAAACTAATACAGTTTGTTCCCTGTAACCTTAAACACTACTATAATATCCATACTGTACAATCTACAACTAATATGATATTGCTTTGAGGATTTTAATTTTAATATCATATCTGTACTATAACATCTAAAACAAATATAATAGCTGCCCTAATACAATTAATACTAACATGCTATCCATACAGTAGCAAAAATAACACTGATATATTAATGTCCTGTGTCTTTTATACTGATGTAACATCTTTAATATAGTGTCTAATACTAATGTAATAACTGTCCTGTGGCCTTTAATACTAATATGATGTAGATATTATAGTAACAAAAATTAATATAACTGCCTGTTATTATTAAAACAATATCCCTACTGTGGCGTATAAAACAGGCCTCTCAACTCCCGTGTTTTCTTTTACCAATTGTTCTCATTTTCTGTATATTCCTCTACCAGTTCTTTTCTCATCTCCCTGTGTATTATATTAACAATACCTATCCTGAAGGCTCTTACATTAATATAATACCCATAGTGTAGCCTCCAGAATCAATGTAATTACTTTAATCTCACTTTTCATGCTAACATGATATCCACATATAGCATCTAAAACTAATACAATAGCTGAAGTTTGGCCTTTAAAACTATTATAATATACAAAGTATGATATATATTTTAATTTATTTTTTAGTTGTAGTTGGACTCAATACCTTTATTTTACTTATTTATTTTTATGTGGTGCTGAGGATTGAACCCAGGGCCTCGCACATGCTATGCCAGCGTTCTACCACTGAGCCACAATTCTAGCCCCATAGCATGGGATATCTTAAATAAATAGGTGAATTTAATACTAATGAGATATCAAAACTACAGCATCTGAAACTAATATAATAATTGCCCTGGGGCAATTAAAGCTAATATGATATTTATAATATAGCATTCAAATAAAATAAAGAGCCAGCCAGTAGACATTAATGTTATTGTGATGTCCATAGACAACATCTAAAATTAATATTTTAATAAACTCAAACTGTGTATTTTAATATTAATAAACTCAAACTGTGTATTTTAATATTAAATGCTATGGCATATATATATATATATATATATATATATATATATATTCATTCATTCATTCTATGACCTTTAGTAATATTGTGATATTCACATTGTACCACCTAATATTAATATAATAGCTGCCATGTGGCTTTATATTAATAGGATATCTATCTTATGGCATGTAAAACTAATAAATAACTGCCACTGGTTATCAATATAATATTATAGTACAGTACACAAATTATAGAATTGTAATTTATAGCACTGTAATGCCCTGTAACTTTTATTACTAATATAATGTCCAAATTACAACATCAAAAAATGATGTAATACCTGTCGTATGGCCTCTAATGTAACAAAGTATTCATAATATAGCATCTAAAATTAGTACTTTAGTTGCATTGTGACCTTTGATATTAATTTAATAGCCATATAAGAGAATCTAAAATAAACATAGTAACTTCTCTGTGGCCTTTTATATTTCTGTAATATCCATGCTATGACTCCTAAAATAACATAATAGCTGCCCTGTTGCATTTAACATTAATATAATATCCAAGTTATATTGTCCAAAATTATTATGATAACTCCCTGTAGCTTTTTATAGTAAAATGATATTCATACTACAGCATCTCAAGCTAATATAAAAACTTCAATGTGCCCTTGAATGCTAATGTAATATTCATAATATAGCAACATAACTAATAAAGAAGAGGCTTTCTAGGGTCTTTAATCATCTTAATATTAATGTAATGTCCATACATTAGCAAATAAAAATAATAAGAATATTCCCTGTTGCCTTTAACCTAATATAATATTTATATTATGTATCTTTAAAATATTTTTTTGGTTGTCAGTTGACCTTTACTCTATCTATTTATATGCAGTTCTGAGAATCAAACCTAATGCCTCACACATGCTAGGCAAGCACTATACAACTGAGTTACAACCCCAGCTGCTGCATCATTTTTTAATTGCAAAAACAATTATTTTATATATTACTGGCCATAAATTTTTGTAATTAGTTATTACATAAATGATGCCTAGTGCCATTATTCTGCCCACAATCCGCTTGTGCATTTATAAACAAAATTCTCATGATTTATATAAGCACATCTATCAGTGAAGATGTTACAATGAGGCGCAATGTAACAACCATGATCTGATGCTTTGCAGATAGCAATGTAGAAGAAAATTATTTGTAATCATCTTTCACTTCAATGATTTTATATAAAAATCAATACTTTAGAATTAAATTCTAAATCTCCAAAGGAGATTTTCAAATGTACATATAGAAATGGTAACAGAGAGCAAGATTTATAATAAACATGTCCACATGTCCACATCTTCTTGTAACTGCTGTACCATTTTTTTCCAACTTCTTTCCTTTGCTTGCAAGAGGGGCTCAGATAGGATCGCAGTTTTGCTTGATTTCTTTAATGTCCTGAATTTTCTGTAGCTCTATTTTTTTTTCAATATGTTCATTATAAATTTAGCTTGGTGTTTCTGTTTGATCTCTTCAACTCTCTTCATTGCATTAATAGTTTTATTCCATAGTTCTTGCTGGCATTTGACAGGTTCATTTCTACATTTTTCAAATTCAAATGAATTATCCACTGTAAGCTCTTGACTACCTGCTTTCCTGAATGCTGTAGTCCACCTGGCCTTGTGAAGATTATGCTTCATTTTAAAGTTCTTAGTACAATGAATTTACAGAATCTGAATACCTTGCAATAATTGAAGGTGAACATGATGCTATGGACAGGGTAGGTGGACCCTGAACAGAAATAACACTTCTTGATATGCATGTTGATACTTGTGGGACCCCACCAACCAGGCCATGAGCTGGGGAAGAAGTGATGCCATATTATTACATCTTAAAACTAACGTAATATATGCCCTTAGCCTCCAATAGTATTACACTATTTGAACATGCCATCTAAAACTAATATAAAAGCTGACTTGTGGCCTCTAACACTAATATTATATCCATAGCACTCCATCTGAAACTAATATAATAGCTGCCCTGTGGCAATGAATACTAATGTGATATCCATACTATAGTATTTAAAACTTAAATAATAGCTTCCCTGTGGCCTCTAACATTAATATCATGCCATAGTATCTAACACTAATATAATAGTAGCCCTGTGACATTAAATACTAAAATGACGTTAATACTATAGCATCCAAAACCAGTATAATACTTGCATGGTGGTCTTTAATACTACTGTCATATCCATACTATAGCAACTAAAGCTAATATAATAGGTGTTCTGTGTATTTAATATTAATATAATATTAATAATTTGGCCTTGAAACCAAAATAACAACTGCCTTGTGCCCTTTTATTCTAATATAATATCCTACTACATCTTTTAAAATTAATATAATAGCTGCCATGTAGGCCTTGAATACTAATATGATATTTATACTATACCTTGTAAATGCCCCCTCACCCTTCTTCAGTACACTTCAGCTGTCCTGGGTCAGTATCCCATCCCCAGAAGCAACATCTGCCTCAGAGAATACTGTCCCTGTTGAGAATACCCTGTCAAAAACTGAAATCCCTTCTTCTTTGTCTTAGATAAGGTAAAAGTGGTAGAGGAGCTGGGAGTGGGTTTTGGGATTGTTCTCACTTACCAGCATGTGCCCCATAGAAGCCATCTGAATGCTCAGAGCCTGTTTTAATATCATTAACAGGATATAAATATGTCTTAGTACAAGACTGGTGTGACACTCAGGTGCAATATTCACAATGACTGTGGGAAAAGTAGCTTGATTGTTTCAGGTAAAAATCACATTGAGGCAAACCAGGATCTCTCCAACCTGCTCCAGAAGAATGCTTTACAAGAAGCAGATGTGGCAAACCAGCCCTGGATGGAGGAATGAGGCCTACCTTCAAATGTCATCCACACTGTAACCATCTTCTTCTCAAGGTCAGGCAGGCTGAAGTCTAGCCCCTTCTCAAGATCAAAATCAGAAAAACAAAATTATGTGGTGAACATTACGGTTAGGGTGGGTATCATGAATGAAGTTGAGCCTGAGCAAATTTGTGGTCTGGAGTGTGGTCAGATGTTGAGTACAGAATAGGTAGGGGTTGTTTACAGAATAGATGTTAAACAGAAGCACATGGTTTGTGGGCTTATATTTAGGGTTTCTAGGGTGAGGTAAGAGCTAGGAGATAGAAAGAAGTGTTAGTGTTTTAGAGTTATGAATAGGTAAGGGAGGTCAGAAGAAGGGTCAAACCAAGAATTCCTTAGAATTCAGTATCACTGGGATACTACGTTTCATACTGTGTTAACATTGACCACCACTTCTTATGACCCACTCTGTGACCCTACACCACTTATTAATTCCTGTGTAGCCCTGTATCACATCCCATATGGCTTCTGGTGTGCCCTCCACTGTCTGCTTTTACTGACCCTGTGTAGCTCTCAACCTTCTCCTCTTATCTCCTCCTGTGTAACACTCCACCAGCATCTTTCATCTCTACCTGTGTAACCTTCCATCACCTCCTCTCACAGCTTTCTCTGTAGCCCTCCATCATCTCCTCTCATCTCAGCATTTAGCCCTCCACCACTTTCTTTTATCCACTCCTATGTACTCTCTTGTCACCTCCTCTCAAGGGCTCATGTGTAGCCCTTGACCATGTCCTCTCATAGCTTCTTTGTAGCACTCCACCATCTCTTCTCATCCCATCCTCTTTAGCCCTCCACCAACACCTCTCAACTCCAATGTTTTCCTTCACTAACTTCCCTCATCTCCCGTATATCCCTCTACCACCTCCTTTCTCAGCTCCTTATGTAACCCTTGACAATAATTTCTTACAGATTACTGTGTAGCCCTTCACCACTTCCTCTCATGACAAAACTGTCCCTCCCAAGGATGCTCAGCCAGCCTCAACTCAACTATGTTCCTGGACTTTGACCTATTCTAGAAGTTGCTAAGGATTCTCCATGTCTTCTAATGACTTGTCTATGTAATTGGCTTTTTAGGTATTTACTTTATATTTAATTCTTTAAATTCTAAAACCCAGATTCTTCATCAAACTTTGATTTTCTTCATTTGTGTTCTATTGTATTCAAAAGGCCAACTGCTTACTTCTTTATGGTTGATTCTTAGTTCTTTCCTCAGATAATGTAAAGACTACTTTTTTAAGTCTATGCTTTTGTTCAAGTATTCAGAAATGTCACTTACTTACTATATTGTTGTATCTTTTGCCAACTTAGTGTTCACCTAAGTATTCTCTCTAGTGTCTCTCTCTCTTTAGTCTCTCTCTCTCTCTCTCTCTCTCTCTCTCTCTCTCTCTCTCTCTCCCTCTCTCTCTCTCTCATCTCTTGGCTGTCCAAAACTTCAGTAGTGTTTGATGTTTTCCAGGAGAAATGGGGACCACCTCTGTACTCTGCCAATCAGGTGTTCTTCTCCTCCTTCACATTGGGCAGTAGAGTTTTTGACCTTAGCTGGTGCTCTCCAGAACTGTCATGGTGGTCATCCTATTTAGGGGGATTCATCTACAAGTCAGTCTCATGTTAATGTGGGCACTAGGGATAATTGCTGGTCAGAAGTTACCTTAGTGTGACTGCACTGCTAAAAGAATCTTCTGTAGTGCACCCCCTCCACCAAAGAAAATCTTAACTAAGTTTCTCCAGAAATCTTCACCATAATTGATTTTAAGACTATAAGCATGAGTCTCTATCTAAAAGAGATTTTAATGTATATCTAAAACATGTAATAGCTGACCTTTGGTTTCTAATACTAATATAGTATGCACATTATAGCATTTAATACTAATATAATAACTGCTTTTTGGTCTTTTACAGTAATATTATATCCATAGCAAAACATCCCAATCTAATATAGTAGCTGTCTTATAGCCTTTCATACTACTGTAACATACATACTGTCTCATCTAATAGATCTCCTGTGTTCTTTAATATTAATATAATATCAATATATAGCATCTTAAACTAATTCATGTACCTTTGCCTCTAATACT